ATCCATCCATCCATCCACCCACCCACCCATCCACTCACCCATCTGCCCACCCACCCATCCATCCACCCACCCATCCATCCACCACTCATCCACCCATCCACTCACCCACCCATCCATCCACCTGCTGTGTGCAGGGCACAGGGAGAGGTCTATTGGAAGCAGAGACATGTAGGATGCAGGTCTTGTTTGAAGCATTTGTGGTAAAAGATGGGCCCTGCAGGTAGAGCCGAGCTTCGCAGCCTCCACCCCGAGGGCGTCTGGGGCGGGGGTCTCCTCGGGGATGTGCTATGTCCTGCAGGATGTGAGCAGCCTCTCTGGGCTCCAGCTAAAGGGCCAGGAGCAGCCTCGTCCCAGTGTGATGAGGAAAATGTCTCCAGACATGGCTCACGTCTCCCGGGGGTGCAAAACTATCCCTAGCTGACACCACTGAGAGATGGTAAATAAGTAGGTGATAGGTGTTGTATAGATAGATGACATAGATGCATAAAAGCTTTATGTGGTGTGGGCCAACAGACGGGTAAGTAATGAGGATACACGACACAAAGATCCACAGAGAGATGATTTAGGATAGATGGGTGATAGATACAGACACGATTATAGATATTAATAGATATTTATAGACATTAACAGATCTATAGACAGAGGATATGGACAAATAGAAGATGAACAGGCACGTGATATGGGCAGATAATAGCCACATAGATATGCTAGGTGATTGATACATACCTGAGTATAGATACATAACAGGTACATAAATCACTAGATGGTACAGACAGGTGGATGATTAATCATCTAGGGCTAGACGTATAGATGGGTCAAACAGATAACACAGATCACTACTAGATCCACAGATAGAAGACACATGGTAGGTGGGTGACAGATGGATACGTGATTATAGATGATCCATAACTGAGAGACTTAGGGATAGGAGATTAATAGGCACATGCTAAGGTCAGACCTATGGATACATGATAAACACAGATGCCAGAGATAATATAGGACATTCGATGGATAAATACCCTGGTGATTACAACTGGGGACACGAATGATTAACAAATACAAACAGATAATAGATAGATGGTTGATACAGATGGGAGCATGTGATACGCTAGATAGATGACTGGGAAATAATGCACACAGGTATGTACAGAGCAGATAGATGGCATGGATAGATAGATAGGCTGGATGATAGACAGAATGGATGAATAGACAGACAGATAGGATGGACAGACAGACAGAATGGATGAATAGAAGACAGAAACACGGATGACAGACAGATGACAGATAACAGAAGATCTGTCATGCCGAGACATTCGCACACTCACCACTGTGCAAGCTAAAGTTACTATTCTCCACTGTTTGAGCCTAAACAAGTCTTTCTTACTGCTCTAGACTTCTCAGAAGAACCTCCTGTCTACTCAGTGTCGTGGACTTCAGTGAGCATGTGTCAGGTTCCATCCATCCAGACACACGCAGTACAAACAGTGGGGGTGAGGCACAGAAAGACACTCAAACATTCTTGTCTCCAGGAAATGCACTGCCTGGTGGAGGGAGAGACACACCGAGAATGAATTACAATATACGGAGAAGTTTATGAGCGGAAAGCTGTCTCAGGCTTGTAAGTTTTAAAGCTACATCTAGAAAAGGGACCCCCCCACCCCCGTGGGATTTTTTAAAAGATAAAACCACGCAGAACCAAGCAATAGGAGATGTAAAGAGCTGAGAAATGCTCACCAAAGTTTGGAAGCTAGAAAAGTGATCGTTCAGTGGGAACTGATGTAGCATTTGCAGAGGTCAGCCGGCTTACAGGAAACAGGAAATGACCCAACATGGGCACATGTTCCCTGCGGCCACAGCACAGCCTGACATAAAGCGGGTGACAGAAATATACACGGCAAGCAGCTGAATACAACTTTGGGCTGACCCCCAAATTATAGTTATGCTCTATCCGCCAAAACCTACAAATGGGATCTCATTTGGAAACAGGGCCCCTGCAGAGGGAATCGGAGCAGGATCTGGGGACGAAGCCATCCAGGGTCGGGGGGCCCTGAATACAACGGCAGCGTCCTCACGAGAGGCAGAGGAGGAGATGCAGACAGAGGAGGAGCTGCGTGCAGACTTGGGAGGCAGAGACTGCAGAGAGGGGGCCGCAGCCCGGGGCCACCCGGAGCCTGGGAGAAGGCACAGCAGGCAGGAGGGTCTCCCTGAAGCCTGTGGAGGAAGCTCGGCCTGGGATGCCTCGGTCTGAGCCCCGTGCGGGGAATGAATTACTGTTGTTTGAAGATACCTGTTTTGGACTGGGCGTAGCAGCGCTGGGAAACAAGCACTAATAGTTAACATTTTCAAGAGGGGACTGCCATGGCCACAGTTACTAAGTACTTTGTGACTCAGTTACAGTAAGAAGCATGCAAACTACCTTTTTTTTTCCTCCCAAAAGCCAATGTTGCATCTGAGCTGACCATGTATTGCAAGCACATATAGTTGCACCCTTCTTTATAGAGACTGTGCTAAAGGACAGCTCTCTGGGAGGTGGAGGCAGGAGGGTTACAAGCTCAAGCCCAGCCTGGGCAACTCAGCATCTTAGGGAGACCCTATCTCAAGATGAAGGCCTGAGGATACAGCTCAGTGCAGAGGCGCGGGGTTGCTGCGAGAAAAACAGAGTTGTCTGTTCCCTCCCCAGAAGGGCTAACTGGAAACAGCTGATCTTGCTCTTGTAAAAGTGTGTGCACAAGCCAAATCTGCAGCCCATGCTCTTCGCACTCTGATGCCTCCCAGGCCCGCGCTGCAAAACAAAACCCACGCCCGCCGGAGTCCTGCTCTTGAGACCAGGTCTGCAATCACAAACAGGAAGCTGGAGTACCCTCGGGGCTTGGGAGGAGGTCCCCACCCTGCTCCTGAATTCAGTCTGTGACACGCCGGGCCAGGAGAGCTGCTGCCTACCTGTCATGAAAGACGCCAGCTCCCCAAATTGCTAGAAGGTGACAACAAATGTCCCAAACCAGTGGCTTAAACCACAAGGATTTATGCCTCCCAGGCCCCGAGCCCAGGAGTCTGAAATCAAGGTGTCCAGGCCCGTACTCTTTCCACAGGCTCCAAGGGAGACCCTCCTGCCTCTGCATCCTCCTGGGGCTCCAAGTAGCCCTGGGCTGCGGCCCCATTGCTCCTGTCTCTGCCTCTGTCTCCACAAGGCTTCTCCTCTGTGTCTGTGTCTCCTCCTCTGTCTCTTGTGAGGACGCTGCCATTGGGTTCAGGAGGCTGAGGCTGGACTATCTCGTTTCCAGATCCTCCACTAATTCCCTCTGCAGGGACCCTTTTTCCATCCAGGTCCCAGCCCAGGTTCTGCAGGTCAGGGTACAGATATGTCTTTTGGGGGACAACAAGCCCTCCATTGCCATTGTAACCCACTGCTAGTGGAAGTTTCTTCCTGCCTTTCTCAGCTCTGCAGGGCTTAACAACTTCACAGATGCTATGACATAGATCTGAGGTGTCCCCCAAAGGTCTCATATTTGGAGGCCCCATAATGGCCCCAAAGCAAAAGCAGTGACGTTGGTGACTCAGAGAACACGTAAAGCACTTGCTCTAAGCGAGAAGCTGAAAGCACAATGTGACTATTAACTGTGATAGTTAACTGCACCAGTAAGAAGGGCCCTGCTCGTTGCTAAAGCCCGGTGCTGGGAGGGTCCGTGGATGATGGACAGGTAGGCCAGCAAATGGAGCAAGGGAAGCCCCCCCCATGTGGGCGGCATCAACCAATAGGCTTGCAGCCTGGAGGGAAGAAAAGGGAAAGAAGAAGGAAGTGTCGCCATTTTGGGAAGAGCTCCAGTCTTCCCCCTCTGGTGAATCTCGAGGAGAGTTCCAGGCCTTTGACCTTGGAGCAGGGCTGTGTCCTTGATCTCTCTTGTTCTCAGGCACCATCTTCTTGGGCTGAGCAGCTCATGGGTCCGCCAGGATGTAGACAGGCCCTGTG